AAACTCCCACTCACAATTGCTACAAAGAGAATAAAATATCTAGGAATACAACTAAAAAAGGATGTAAAGGGCCTCTTCAAGGAGAACTACAAACCACTGCTCCAGGAAATAAGAGAGAACACAAACAAATGGAAAAACATTCCATGCTCATGGTTAGGAAGAATCAATATCATCAAAATGGCCATACTGCCCAAAGTAATTTATAGATTCAATGCTATCCCCATCAAGCTACCAATGACCTTCTTTACAGAACTGGAAAAAAATCACCTTAAACTTCATATGGAACCAAAAGAGAGCCCACATAGCCAAGACAATCTTAAGTAAAAAAAAAAAAAAACAAAGCCAGAGGCATCACGCTATCTTATTTCAAGCTATACTACAAGACTACAGTAATCAAAACAGCACAGTACTGGTACCAAAACAGAGATGTAGACCAATGGAACAGAATAGAGGCCCTGGAGGGAAAACTGGCTAGCAGTGTGCAGAAAAACTGGACGCCTTCCTGCCACTTTACACTAAAATTAACTCCAGATTGATTAAGGACTCAAACATAAGACTTAACACCATAAAAATCCTGTAAGAAAACCTAGGCAAAACCATTCAGGACATAGGCATAGTCAAGGACTTCATGACTAAAACACCAAAAGCATTGGCAACAAAAGCCAAAATAGACAAACGGGACCTAATCAAACTCCAGAGCTTCTGTACAGCAAAAGAAACAATCATTAGAGTGAACTGGAAACCAACAGAATGGTAAAAAATTTTTGCAATCTACTCATCTGACAAAGGGCTAATATCCAGAATCTACAAAGAACTAAAACAGATTTACAAGAAGAAAAGCAAACAAGCAAACCCATCCAAAAGCGAGCAAAGGATATGAACGGACACTTTTCAGAAGAAGACATATATGAGACCAACTAACATAAGAAGAAATACTCATCATCACTGACTACAGAAAAATGCAAATCAAAACTACATTGAGATACCACCTCATGCCAGTTAAAATGGTGATCATTTAAAAAATCTGGAAACAACAGATGCTGGAGAGGATGTGGAGAAATAGGAACACTTTTACACTGTTGGTAGGAGTGTAAACTAGTTCAACTATTGTGGAAGCAGTGTGGTGCTTCCTCAAGAACCTAGAAATAGGAATTCCATTTGACTCAGCAATCCCATTACTGGATATATACCCAAAGGATTATAAATCATTCTATTATAAAGACACATGGACACATATGTTCATAGCAGCACTGTTTACAATAGCAGAGACCTAGAACCAACCCAAATGCCCTTCAACAATAGACTGGATAAGGAAAATGTGACACATATACACCATGGAATACTATGCAGCCATAAAAAATGATGAATTTGTGTCCTTTGCAGGGACATGGATGTATCTGGAAACCATCATATTTAGCAAACTGACACAAGAACAGAAAATCAAACACAACATGTTCTCACTCATAGGTGGGTGATGAACAATGAGCACACATGGACTCAGGGAGGGGAGCATCACACACTGGGGTCTGTTGGAGTGGGCCAAGGAGGGACAGCAGGGGGTGGGGAGGTCAGGGAGGGATAACACGGGGAGAAATGCCAGATGTAGGTGACAAGGGGTTGGAGGCAGCAAACCACATTGCCATGCGTGTACCTACGCAACAATACTGCATGATCTGCACATGTACCCCAGAACCTAAATTACAATTAAAAAGTAAGTAAATAAATAAATAAAACAAATATGTCACCAAAAAAGGTGGAAAATAAGCTTGTGAATAGATGCTCAATGTTATTAGTCATAAGGAAAACACAAAGCAAAATCAAAATGATGACCAATTATAATGTCTAAAATTTTATAAGACAGGCTATCCTGAATATTCACAAAGATGTGGGCAAACTCAACGTTATAAGTCATAAGGAAAACACAAAATAAAACCAAAATGATAACCAATTAGAATGTCTAAAACTTTAAAAGAAGGTTATACCAAGTATCAACAAAGATGTAGACAAATGGAACTTCATACACTGATGGTGGCAATATAAATACTGCATATGCTTTAGAAAACAGATTGAAAATTTCTTTAAAATGTAAACACAAATTACTGTATGATCCAAGCATTCTGCTTTTGTGTATTCACTCCAAGATAAATGATGGTAAGTGTTCACCCAAAAAATTGTACAGATGTACATATATCCATATGATGAAATACTACTTACCAATCAAAAGGATCATGTTTAGACATGTTTCAGACAACATGTCCAAACTATGTTGAGTGAAAGAAGCCAGACAAAAAGAGAGTACATACAGAATGATTCTGTTTATATAAATTCTATGAAATGCAAACCGACAGTGATGGAAAGCAACCAGAGGGAAGAGAAGGAAGGATAGAAGGAAGATATTCAGAAGGAATGATGGATGTATCCTCTACCAAGGTTGTGGTAATGATCTCATGGGTGTATATATTCAAAACTTATCCAGTTGTAGATTTTAACTATGCACGATTTATTTATGCTAGTTTTACCTCAATAAAAATATTAGAAAGTATTGGTCACCTCTAGTCATTGTCCTTTCACAATTTCCACAGCTCAGATTTTAGCCTCTTACTGTTGTTTGGGCCATATTCCTCTTTTCTCTCTTACCTATTCCCTTCATTTTCTTTTTTAAAAATTTTTAAATTTTTTAATTTTTGAAATTTGTATTTTAGGTTCAAGGGTACACATGTGAGTTTGTTATATAGATAAACTCTTATCATGGAGGTTTGTTGTACAGATTTCGACACGCATGAACTAAGCCTACTACCCAATAGTTATTTCTCTGATTCTTTCCCTCCTCCCACTATCTACCTTCAAATAGGCCCCAGTGTATATTGTTCTCCTCTTTGTCTCCATATGTTATCATTTAGCTCCCACTTATAAGTGAGAATATGCGGCATTTGACTTTCTGTTCCTGCATTGGTTTGCTAAGAATAAGGGGCTCCAGCTCAATTCATGTTCCTGCAAAGGACGTGATTGCATTCGTTTGATGACTGCATAGTATTTCATGGTATATATGTACCACATTTTATATATCCAATTTTCCACTGATGCTATTCCTTTTATTTTCTTATGCCCAGCAAATCAACCTTCTCTCTCTAGTTTTATCCTGTACCTCACTTTGCACACTTGAGGTTAGCTTTAAAATTATGACTTTTAAATGGTTCTCAAATCATATTCTTACAAAAAGCATTCACCAAGGCTCTGGGGAAAGCTATTTTCTTTTTTCTTTTCTTTCTTTTTTTGTCTAGTTTTATCGAGTACTATAAATGACCCATATTATCTTGATGATTCAGGATTGTATTATCATCCCTGGTTATTTTACTACAATAAGGTTGGCATCTACTGAGACCTACTTTATCTCTATACATTTTATCTCTTTCCAAATTGGCTCAGATTCTTGAACTTTAAAAAATTATTCTCTTCACTTTTTAGAGTTTCTCTTCTCTTTGCTCATTGTCAGACATATTGTCAGCTGTCACTTCTACTGTTTTCATGTGTCTGTTTAGAGAATCGTTACACTTTCTTTCATTGTAATTTCCTGTCTCTTAACTGTTTTGATTTGGAAAACCTATAAGCAAGGAATTAAAAACAATCTGTAAATTTGGAATAAATCTAGAATCTGAGTGGGTGACCTGAGGCTTACTTTGTGAGTTAAAGTGCATTGTATCTTTGCAATTAATTTTGACACTTTTTTTTCCAAGATAAATGACACTTACGTGATGTTACTGTATCTAATTCCCAAGGGAACTGTAGAAATGGAATTCCTGTTTTCCCAGTGGAAAACATTCTTCAGTTTTCTGGAGAATAATTTGCCAAGGTTGTCTTTTGTAAGAACTATGTTCAGTGTCCTTTTTATTTATGTAGATGTTTCCAATATATCTTTTTGTGGATGTCATAGTAGTATACAATCAATCTGTTCTATGAGCAATCGATTATTTACCTGAAAGCTGTTAGAATAATACATTAAAATAAATTTGACCACAGCCATACCAAGTTCTGCAATTTTTTCTAGTTTAATGTTCAAAGAATGTGACTAACAAAAATAATGTAACTAAGGCAGTGCAGATGCCTTTAATGAGTGCTCTGCCTGTGATCATCTGAGTTCAGATTTATATCTTCAACAATAAGTATTTAGCATTCTCCAGCGCTTTTTGCACTTGCAATACTTTTCCAATTTAAAATTTACACATAAGATTCTATTTGATTTATCTCTTGGCATATGTGAATTATGTAATGATTGCTAAGGAGCAAACACTATTAAAATGGGTAACTAGACATTGAAGTTAAACATTCCTTTTACGTATCATTCTATTAACTTTGTGTCACCTTTTTAAATCTAAGCCTAAACAAATATATCTTTGCTTGGAGATAATTGTGGCTCAGAGATTGTCATTTAGAAGATTGTGTTTTGCCATACTGCTTTAAGATGCATTTTTTAAAAGGAGCAGTGTTCTTTCTTATTTCAGCACTTGAGAGGTACAGGAAATGCTCCCCTCTCCCTCCACAACTAGAGTGAAATTTGCTTAGGGATAAAGGCAGGGGATGTGTTTAGTTCTTCATTTGTTTGACTTCTGCAGCACGTGATAATACTGATCGGTTACATCCTTGCAACACTGCCAGTCATCATGCATTGAGTCACTTCTGCATCTCTTAATTTCCATAATGTCACGCTCTCCACATTTCTCCCTTTCCTCTCTGGACTCTCAGTCACCTTGTCAGCTCCACTTTCTCTACCTACTCCCTAAACATTGAAGTTCCCAAGAAATTTGTTCTAGATCTTCTTCTCATATCATAATAAACAATCTCCTAACTGTAACTACCAAACATGTGCTAATAATTTACAGTTCTGTATCTGCAGCCTGGAACGCTTTCCCAAAGGGAAACTCTTTGTGCCTACTGCCTTCTGGATCCCTTCACTCCATTATTCCATGGTTTTAGATGTATTACTTTGGTTTTTCTGTCCACAGGCAACAGGTCCTCGGGGTTTATTAAAGGAAGATGCCAAAGGCTCTCTTCAGAAAAGCTTCAGGATTCTTAATGAAGCCAAGAAGTTAGCAAATGATGTAAAAGGTCAGTGTGGCCATAATTTTTATTACATTCCAGTTAGTTGTGTTGTTACTGATAAGGTATTCTATCACACTATTGGAGAATATAATTTCTTTAGCATGATTTTTGTGATGATTCTATAATCTATTTAATGCAGGTAAACCTTCTCACTAGTTTTATAAATTTTATCTACCTATCTCACTTCATCTGGGGTAATATTTCATAATCTGTAAGTCTTATTTCTATAGCATCACTTCACCTGCATCTAATGTGTAGTAACTTTTAGCATAATAAGTTTTTAAGAGTATCAAACCCAGGCATCCATAGTGGTTCATGCCTGTGAGCCCAGTGTTTTGGGAGGCTGAGGCAGGAGGATCTCTTGAGGCCAGTCAGGGAAGCATAGCAAGATCCTTTCTGTACAAAACATTTTTTAAAAATTTAGCCAGGTGTGTCAGTGTGAGCTCATGGGCATACCTACTTGGAAGGCTGAGGCAGAAGGATCACTTTAGGCCAGGGGTTTGAAGTTACGGTGAGTTGTGATCACACTGCTGTACATCAGCCTGGGTGAAAGCGTAAGACCCTGTCTCTAAAAAGAAAAAAAAAAATTAAATGCATTTTTTTTGAGACAAAGTCTTGCTCTGTCACCCAGGCTGGAGTGCAGTAGTGTGATGTTGGCTCACTGTAGCCTCTGCCTCCCAGATTCAAGTGATTCTCCTGCCTCAGCCTCCTGAGTATCTGGGATTACAGATGTATGCCACCATGCCAGCTATTTTTTTTTTTATTTTGAGTAGAGACAGGGTTTCATCATGTTGGTCAGGATGGTCTTGAACTCCTGACCTCAAGCAGTCCTCCCACTTCGGCCTCCAAAAGTGCTGGGATTACAGGCATGTGCCACCATGCCCGGCCCTAAATACATTTTTCTTGTATTTTATTTCTTATGCAAGGGTCAAAATGCACAAAATATCTATTGCTATATTATGGGTTTTGTGTTAAGAATATATCATTAAACATGGCTGCTTTCTATACGAGCCATTACATTTATTATCTCATGCATGTATCTCTTGTTTCTCATTTGAGTTGCCAGCTGTTTCGCTCCCCAGTTTTATTCCCTACCATTTTCTGTCTCGTATCTGTCTTCCCAACCTTACCTAAGTATTCATTATTCCTCCCAAACATGCTACTATTCCAAGCTTTCATGTTTTCAGTATTATTTCTTCCCCTTGGAATGCCTCATCCTTCATCTCTCTTCTTTGTCTAACTGCTTTCTCCCAGACCTTCAGGATTTAGTTCAAATACCATCATTTCCATGAAACCTAACACATCATCTGATTTGCATGCCCTCTCTCTGGTGTACTTATCTTATAGACTTGTCAAACCACCGCAATCATGGACTAATTAATATTCCATCTTTTTTTAAATTAAAAAAATATTTTATTGATGCATAATGGATGTATATATTTTTGGCATTTCATCTTCTCGAGGAAAGACATGGGGTTTTGTTAACTGTGTATTTCTAATATGCATAATAGTGGCCAGCTCAAATGAGGAAATACTTGTTTTTTACAATTGGTAGTGTTGGTGTTATCTCAGAAAGAAAAGAGGTTTAAAAATCATTTATATTTGGCATGTTTTGGTCTCAGTAGAGGCCGATATAGAATTATGAGTTCTATCTCCATTATAAGTAACATTTTAATAGTACAGTTCTTCGGGCTGTGTATTACAGGTGAAATAAAACTCCCTACATACCTAATTCTGCACAGCAAGTACCTCTTATTACAATCTGAAGAATGGCTATAAAAAGCCAAAACCTGTGTTTCTATTAGACAAGTGTATTCAACCCCATGACTTTGCGGTCACTTCTTATCTCACACCCTTGCCCAGGGCCGGGGGGAGGAAGGGAGTGAGGTGAGTCCTGCGAGTGCAGGAACCAATCCTGTCTTTAAGATTTTAATAATACCAGGGCCCTGCCTTTGCCTCTGTTTCCCCACAGACACCGGTATTATAAAAATGAAGATTGAGTCCACTTGTCCAATAGGAACACAGGTTTTAGCTTTCTTCAGTCACTCTTCAGATTGCAATAAGAGCTATTTGCTGTTCAGAATTATGTATGTAAGGAGTTTTATTTTGCCTGTAGTACACAGTCCAAAGGATTGTACTATTAAAGAGTCATTTATAATGGAGATCAAATTTGTTCATCATGTATCTTGTTTATTGCATAATTTTAGTTTTTTACATACTGCATTAAAATATTTTTATCTTGGCTGCAGAATGGTTTAATGCACCTTTAAATTTTGCACCTGAGCTGAGTGCCTTAATCACCTCATGCTCCCCCAAGTCCTGCCCTTGCCTCTATTTCCCCATAAACACTGATATTATAAAAATAAAGAGAAAAAATTATGTTTAGGCATGTTTTTTCTAAAAGAAAGGGAAATCTAAAGAAAAGCATGGTAGAAAGGGTTAGGAGATAGAAATGTTCATTAGTTTAAATGTCTTTTTTTTTTTGTAGTTCAGGTAGTACATTATTTAAAGTAATGGAAACCCACAAACTACTGAAGTAATAATTCCTCTAGAAAACCAAGCCAAGGCTATGACGGAGATGGGAATGTTTTCTTGCTACATTATGACATTTCTCTGATTTGTGGTCAATTACACTGGTTATAAAATGGCTGTTAATCAGGAAAATGCCATATATTACCACCAGGAACTGCTGAAATAAGCCCTACAGAGAAAAACTCTTGACAGCAGCTATTAAAATAGAGATTTAGTCATTTCTCTCTCTATGGTGCCTGGAGTTAGAAGGAATAAAAATGGTGGGGCCAGTAGACCCTCCATATTTCTAATGTGTTGCTTGGTTCAGTTCAGTACATGGGCTTTAGTCATGAATGACTTAGTACTGCTCCCTGACATTTTTACTCTGTCCTTTCCTTGAGGGAGTCTGAACTTGCCAGGAGCAATTTGTTTTGCTTTTTAATTTTTGAATATACATCTGTTAAAAGTAAATTTGCCCTTGTGTGAGTTTGAGATTTGAAGCCTGTCTGCACTGCACTGATCGAATGTCTGTGAAGATAAAAGGCATTTTGTTGATGGATATGAGGCTTGGTACAACTTGATGACTGAAAGAGTGAGAAGATGAATTAATACCACCAGGTGAATTAATACTACTTTGTAGGTAGACAAGAAATTTTTTTAGGCTGGGCGCAGTGGCTCATGCCCTGTAATTCCAACATGTTGGGAGGCCGAGGTGGGCAGATTGTTTGAGCCCAGGAGTTCAAGAACTGCCTGGGCCACATGGTGAAACCCCATCTATACAAAAAAAAAAATTAGCCAGGCGTGGTGGAGCACACCTGCAGTCCCAGCTACTCAGCTACTCAGGAAGCTGAAATGAGAGGATCACTAGAGCCCACAAGGCAGAGGTTCCAGTGAGCCAAGATTGCTCTATTACACGCTAGCTTGGGTGACAGAGTGAGAGCCTGTCTCAAATAATAATTAATTAATAATAAAAATTTAAAAGAATTTCAGTAAAATACTAACTTCAGGTTCTCATGGAATGTGTACAAGACAAGGAAAAAGTAGAGCTTGGTTTATTAAAAGTTAGAATACTAAGATTTTTTAATTGTACGTCTTATCTTATACTGACTTTTCCATTGTATTTCCTTCTTAATTTATATCCAATTTTTGTCTTTGCCCAAGATAAATAAAATTACTTAGGAAAAAAATAGGTAACATGTCTGCCTGGCATGGTGGCTCATGCCTGTAATCCCAGCACTTTGAGAGGCCGAGGCAAGCGGATCACCTGAGGTCAGGAGTTCAAGACCAGCCTGGCCAATGTGGTGAAACCCCATCTCTAGTAAAAATCCAAAAATTAACTGGGTACGGTGATGGGTGCCTGTAATTCCAGCTACTAGGGAGGCTGAGGTAGGAGAATTGTTTGAACCCAGGAGATAGAGGTTGCAGTGGGCCAAGATTGTACCACTGCATTCCAGCCAGGGCAACAGAGCTAGACTCTGTCTGTAAAAAAAAAAAAAAAAAAAAAAAAAAAGGAACAATGTCGATAAAATAGATAACACAGGAAGTACAAAGATCTATTCTCTGGAGCTTTGTGACTGCTCGTTTAAAGGAAGTGGTTTGTCTCATAGCACTATAGGCTGTGATACATAAATACAGTTAACCTTTGAACAATGTGGGGACTGAAAAGCATGGATCACCTGCACAGTTGAAAATCCATGTATAACATTAGACTCTTCATAAAGTTGACTAAAAAAAAAAAATCTATTCCTAAGTGCAAGAATAATGAATCAGTGCCTTGCTTGACATATGGTGCTGTCCCACACGGGGAACAGTATGAAACATTATTCCAATCATTAAGTTTTATCAAACCAATTGAAACCTTCCTTCTGTACTGTGGACCTCCAAACACTCAATTATTCTGTTCAGACAAATGGGTCATGAAGATCCTGAGATCATGGATGTAATACACTTGCAATTGCTAATCTGTTGAGATTCCGTGTTATTATTTTATGTTTTTTAAAAAGAGAATAAACTGGAATACTGCAGTGCTGCTAAACCAAAGTATGATACAGGAGCTCAATTTTGACTAAGGGGTCCTTTTATTATGAAAGATATACTCCTTTTGAATTTGTATACCACCATTTGCCTGAATCAGCCTTTCCATAGCAGGCATGTAAAAGACAAGCAAAATTGGCTCTACTGACAACAATTTTAGACTATAAGGATGACATTAAGCCTGGGTCCCCCGGCCCTCTGTGGTCTGGAGAACAAACCAGTCTTTTCTAGGTGAATTTGCTGATCCCTCATACAGAATTTTGGTTTCTCCTTTAGAGTGTGAATGGTGGAAATCAAAAAATAAAACCAGAGTACACTTGGATTAGTAGAAAAAATGAAAAGTGGCAGAATAGTGACAAATAGGGAGGAGCAGGATCTATTAGAAAGATTATCCCTAAGAGTGAGACGTAGCTTATCATATCCAACCCCACCATGAGTAGAGGACAAGAAACAAACATTGA